CTACTAAACACTGAGCAAAGGGTCTGAATACTTATGACCATGTGATATTTCAGTTTTTCTTTTTTAATAAATCTGCAAAAATGTCAAAAATTCGGTGTTTTTCTGTCAATATGGGGTGCTGTGTGTACATTAATGAGGAAAAAATGAATTTAAATGCTTTTAGCATATGGCTGCAATATAACAAAGAGTGAAAAATTTAAGGGGGTCTGAATACTTTCCGTACCCACTGTACATCCAATACACATTTTGTGTGATTTTGTGGCCACATTTCTCCCCATCTTTTTCCACAACACATTGTTTTATTTTCCACTTCTATGTAATGAAAGTTTTTCCAAATGTCGTTTCTTCTTTTTCTCCCAAAGACGAACCCCGGCTGGCCGGCCATCGGTCCCTTTCTCTGTGTCAGACTTAACTTTGTTTGTTGTCGTCTTCTAAATAATGCCGCGAGTGGAGCTTAAGGGAGTGATGTAGCCTGCGTCTGTGCAGTGCGACCTGAAGCAAGACAGAAAACAGAAATACTGCAAAATAATAATAATAATAACGCGACTGAACGAGACAAAATAACGTTATAACATTTCGTTTCATCTCGTTTTGGTCAACGAAAATGAAGAGACATTTTGGCATAGTTTTTAGTTTGTGAACCACATTTAGTCTCGTTTTTTTTCGTCAACGATATTGCATTATACATTTAGTTATAGTCATCATCACACGACCAGCATTTTCGTTGCGTCTTGTCTCGTTTTCGTCACGCGATAAAGGTTCGTTGACGACAATATTTAGTCATAATTTTCATTGACGAAAGCAACACTAGATGCCAGACGCTTTGTATTTGGATTATTCCACTTGATATCAGGGTTTTAACACTGACCCTTACCAGCAAACATAAATCTCTTTGTTTTTTGTTTTTTAACCTCCACCAACAAGGTTATATTTTTGGCTCCCTGTGTGTGTGTTGGTTAACAGGATTATGGACAAGTGGCTGAATGGATCATCAGCTTACTTGGTACAGACACAGGTGGGGACCATCTCTAGAAGTGATTAGATTTTGGCTGAAAAAGGTCAAAGGTCAAGGTCACAAAAAAAATTTCCCAAACTAAAAAAACTAATCATATCTCTGTCAAAAGTTACTGAAATCATTTTTTGTTAACACACACATAGGGTGGCAATGTCTACCAGCAGACCAAATTTCATCCAGATGTGATCCAGAATCCAGATTTGATGGCTATTTAAAGTTAACATTGAGAACCCCATTTCACACATAATTTGTCATAACCCTGATGTGTTCAGGTAAGATGCACAGTATAACTGCCTATCACACCCTAAATGATGTTCCAGAGCTGATCCAGCTCAAGGATTTTGTGTTGTTCTGGATCTCATTTTTCACAAGGGAGCCATTTGCACGAGTGATTATTGTTCCTTGGCAGGGGTACATGCACTCTCTGATTGATCTTGTTTAAGATTTATTTTTTGGCTTTTATTCCTTTATTAATTAATGAGTCATGTGATCAGATCTTCACAGTCACTTAGACTGCTGTCCCCGCGACCCAGTTCCAGATAAGCGGAGGAAGATGGATGGATGGATGGATCTTCACAGTCATGATCTTTCATGTCTTTATTGAACATACCCAATAAATATACAAAGTGGTGATGGAAAATGTAATGACAACAGAGTTTTAATAACAGGTTGAACCACCTTTGGCAGAAATAACTTCAAGCAAGTGTGTCCTGTAGCTGTGGATCAGACCTGCACAATGTTCAGGAGGAATTCTGGAGCATTCGTCCTACAGAACTGCTTCAGTTCAGCCATGTTCTTAGGGCTTCTGATGTGAACAGCTCTCTTCAGGTCATTCCACAGCATAGTTGAGGTCTGGGCCCTGACTGGGCCACTCCCAAAGGTGGACTTTGTCTCAGTAGCCGTTCTCGTTCTTGTATTTTTTTTTCTTGTCTTTCCTGGATAATGTTCTGCCTTTCCTCAACTCCTCGCTTCGCCTGTCCTGCTACTTCTCTCTACCGCAGCCATGGGCAGCTATCTCTGGACCATACTCCTCACCTCCTTTCCAGCCTCCACTAGCCAGGTTGATACACAATCGTACAAACTACCTCCGGCTCACTGCCACCATCTACTCTGTCTCCTCAGCCTGTTCCACCTCCATCGGCCAGCCAGTAAGTGACCCTTGTGTTCCGCAGCTCGGCCCACCTTCTCCTAACCCCCATAGTGACTGTCACCATGCTGGTTGACACCCGGTTTTATAGACTATACTGTCCGTATTCTTGTATTGTTCTCACCATACCTGTATGGTATGTATAGCTGGCTTGTGGCGGCCAAGCGTTCATAGCGACGTCGCTTTTTGATCCTTCGATGTCGGCTCTTCCTATCATTGTGAAGCAGAATTCACCAAGCGTTGGATTGTTCACCCACTAATAGGGAACGTGAGCTGGGGTTAGACCGTCGTGAGACAGGTTAGTTTTTCCCCAGGTAATTCTAAATCACACCTCCATTCTTGTTTCATTGACTGTATAGCATGTATTAAATCTGCTTGCACTGAAGTCAGCCCTCTGGGTTTGTTCTTTTTTTTTTTTGCTCACTCACCCTCCCATGTGTGAGCGTTTATAGCAGTTTAGGGTCATTGTCCTGCTGCATCACCCAGTTTGTTCTGAGCTTCAGCTTGTGGACAGCCACCCTGACATTATGCCGCAGGATACCTTGATAAACCTGGGAATTCATTTTCCCCTCGACAGTGGCAAGTTGTCCAGAGGCAGTAAAGCAGCCCCAACTCACGATGCTCCCTCCACTGTACTACAGTTTTCTTTTTACACCATACGTAGTATGGTGTTCTTCCCAAACAATTCTATCTTGGTTTCATCATTTTCCCAGTAGTGTTGTGGAGTGTCAAGGTGGTCCTTGGCAAACTTCAGGCATGCTGCAATGTTTTTGGAGAGCAATGGCTTCCTCTGTGGTGTCCTGCCACAATACCATGCCTGTTCAATATTTAGCATATAGATGACTCATGAACAAAGATGTCAACCAGCTCCAATGGTTCTTATTTACCTCACTGAGCGTTCTGCGTTGTGCTTTTGGAGTGATCTTCGCTGGACGCCTACATCTACAGAGAGTAGCCATGGTACCAGATGTTCTACATTTATAGACAGTATGTCTAACTATGAACTGATGAATATCTAGGGGCTTTGAGATGTCTTGGTGACCCTTTCCTGCTACAAGTCAACAATTCTTGGTCGTAGGTCTGAGATCTCTTTTTTTGTGAGGCCTGGCTCACATCTGCTGATGCTGCTTGTGAACAGCACACTGACACTGTTTGAGTCAAGGTAATTCTAAATCACACCTCCATTCTTGTTTCATTGACTGTGCTCCAGGTTTGCTATGTTTGAAGGCCACGATCTGCTAACTCTTGGACATAGCAACACAGCTTAACTTCTCATTCTTAGGTGTCACATTTGAAACCTATTAAAGCTTCGAACACTGACTGAGGTTTCTAGGTAGAGATATTCACTCAGTGATTGACTACCACGAACCTGCAAACAGAGTTCCCTGCAGATCTCTCTCTTACATGTTATTAATTCAGGACAAGACCCAAATCCTCTCAAAATAATAACAGTTATTGGTAGCTACCTCCTTATACCCTCAGATGTTACTGTACTGTGGGCAGCACAGTGGTTAGCGCTGTTGCCTCCCAGCGACCTGGGGCCTTTCTGTGCGGAGTTTGCATGTTCTCCCCGTGCTTGCGTGGGTTCTCTTTGGGTGCTCCGGCTTCCTCCAACAGTCCGAAGACATGCAGCATAGGTTGCTTGGTGTCTCTAAATTGACCGTAGGAGTGATTGTGTGTGTGTGAGTGGTTGTTTGTCTGCGTGTTAGCCCTGCGATGGACTGGCGACCTGTCCAGGGTGTACCCCGCCTCTCGCCCGCAGCTGGCTGGGATTGGCTCCAGCCCCCTGTGACCCTGTTTGGGACTAAATGGTTTAGAAAATGGATGGATGGATGGATGTTACTGTACTGAGAAAGTTTTAGGAACCAGTATACTCTGGCTGGCAACCTGCTGGTTGTTCTTCCATTAGGCCATGCGTGATAGGGGAATACAGATTTACTATCAACTCCTCCATGTACTCTTCTTCCTGCACCGGGATAATAATCTTCTTCTGGCCTGTTTGTTGTCTTCTTGGACTCTGGTTCCTTAAATAGTGGGCATTCCAATATCTCCTGCAGATACTCTTGTTGTTCCTGTGGGGCTTCTAGTTGTAAAAAAGACAATCTTTCCTATAGCCTCCTGCAGCTCCTCCTGTAAGGTTGTCTCTGCCACTGGGTCTTCAAAAGCCAGTGCTGCCTGCCTATGAGCCTTCATTACCACTTTCTTTGGCTTATTTTGGACTCTCCCCCGCTAACACCTGACTTTTTCCACTGTCATTTTGTGTGTTTAATGGGTGTGTTCAATACAGAAATGAAAGATCAGGACTGTTTGTGTTTTATCAGCTTAGAAATATTGTGTTGGTTGATAGTTGTGACTTTGGTGAAGGTCAGATCACATTTCATGACCAATTTATGCAGAAAACCAGGAAATTGAAAACAGTGCCATTACTTTTTCTTGTGACTGTACCATGCTGATGAGGCCATCACACCAGAGCCATGCAGTTATTTGAATTTACTGTACACCCTGTAGCCACTCAGAATACAGTATTCCTTAACTAACTTCTCTCTCTAATTTTTGTTCATTAAGTGTGAAGTGAGAGTCAAAATAAACTCTACCGGTATTCCCTCCTCTTATCCCTCCACTCATCATTGCTCCTCCTGCTCTGTCTCTAAAACTACCTTCTACATGGTCACGACAGCCAGATACAGGTAGTGCAGCAGTAATAACCAGCTGCAGAATATAGAGCCCGTGGTTTTCAGTGGCATTGCAGTGGCATTGCAGTGATGCATTGTCAAATAAAAAGGTTTTATATTTTAGCAATATGCATACATATGTCAAACATTGCTTTGTAGTGGATGTATCTGTATTAACACAAGTAAAGAAGAAGCTTTATTTTATTGTAACACATACAACGAAATTTTGTTTAGAGCCAAGGGCCCCGGGCCAGGGTATTCAGTGTCTTGCCCAAGGACACTTTGACGTGGACTGCAGGCACCGAGATTCAAACCTCACACTCTGTATCTGGTATTAACAGATGTTGTTCTACTGTATGGCCCTGTTCAGATAGCCATCAGCATTATGTGTAAAAACACAGCCTCTTCATTCTTTAGTGTTACGTTTGAGCACAGACAGGACAAAAATGTATTAATCTGCAGTGTTTGTGTCATCTGCTGACAGCTGCTAGCTAGTGTTAGCTCCTGAACCGAGAGCTGAGACAAGGGCATGGAGTCATGGAGTTGCCCATGTCAACGGGATCTCTAGGTCCGCATTGAGTTAGCTGCCATTAGCTAAGGCTATCCATTCTGAATGACCAAAGTCAAGTCAAAGTGAGATCTAAATGATTTAACCAAATTTTTTACCAAATACAATAAAATAAAACAAGAACATATGCAGGTAAATACAGCACCTCCCTCCCAAAATGGCAACCTCATCCCAGCATTCAGCATGGCGTGATGGACCTTCATATGCTCTATATGTAGGATCATCCTGCAAAAAGTCGAATCTGGCAAAAATTTTGGCCCAAAGTATTGTATCAAAGTATCATCCACTGAGATACTGACTGGTCACTCAAATGCACACAAGGTCACATTATTATTAGTGTACTCATTATTAGTATCACTGAAAAAAAGGATTCACCGGGTCTTTGGATTTACACAAATTATGCTAGTATATGCAACGCAATTCATTCATATTTCCTCTGTTAACATAATTCAAACAAGTTAACCCCTAAAGAAAATTATGTTGGTTTTACACATTATAATTGTGTGGGACCGATGTACACATTACAATCAAGTAAATCCAACAAATCTTTTTTTTTCAGTGTACTGCATTTGTGTTTCATGAAAGTAACCAGTTCTAGTGGAGATACATTAGTGCAAGGTCATCTACCCTTCGACTCTCATTTTGCACGTTGTAGCTTTTGCCATCTTCCCAGCACAGTTCTAAGACATAATTAACTTAGAGCTGTAGAATTGTATTTTATTACCTGTGTAGTTTCCCTCTGTTCCTCTCTGGCTCCAGGTTAGTGTCTCTGTTTTCTGTCTGCATGCTGTTATCAGCCATTTGTGCTCCACACACCTCCGCAGTGGGCCCTGTGGCTACACACATCCTCCAGATACTACTCTCCTACAAGAACACACACACACACAAACGGTGAAAGAATATAAGGGAACATCTGTATTAGTAGATAGAACATAAACTTTAAGCATATTCAACCATCTGGTTGAGTGAGGGGACAGCCAGAAGGAAAAAGAAAGAGCACTAAGGTTTTATAGGTAATGAACATAGTGGGTCATAGTATTTAGAGGTTAAACCTATGTGGCAAAGTCATATATGTTTCAGTGGCTCTTAAAGTCTTGAAGTATGCAGCCAGACTACTACAGTAAGTGATATAACACAGAACGAATGTGTTCTTTGGGTACTGTGGTATATTCTTTGTCAGTTTCTTTTTATTTGGAGTAGTCATCTTCACAGAAATTAGTATTTTTCATGTTCATGTTCATTTTAACTAAGAAATTGCTGAACATGGATATTATTTTAAATGTGTTCTTGAAATTATTCTTTTTATGACAATGTGGCTTTATTAAAAAAATATTCAAAAACATATGTTCATTTTGACTATAGGATTTACTCTCAACATAAACAGCTAAACAAAATGGTTATGATTTTGTCTCCATCTAACAGATGATGTGATTAGGAGTGACTGATGCTCAACTTGGCATGAATTAGTCCCAGAGGAAAAACTACCCCATTAAATTACTATTGAGCTCAGCTTCAATTAGGGTTCTTTAGCAGCCTGGGCTTTAGTCCACGAAGTGATATACAGCAACCAGCTGTAAAAAATTTCATTATGATTGAAAAGCAAATTCTGCTGTCAATGGTTAATATATTTATAGTATTATAGAAAGAGTAGTTTGTCTCTAACTTCTGAGTTTGCACATTAGGTTCTTATTGTCTGTTACTGGATAATTTCTAGTAGTTTAGCAATAGCAGTAGTTCATTTATTCCAGTCATTACACATAATACAAAAAGTATAAACAGTATAAATAAATAATGGTGGGTTTTTCCCTCACAGTCAGACACTGTACAGTAGTTAAAAACTACCATTATTTGTAGCTGTGCTCACTGGCTAAATCGATACTTTATAGTGGTCTTCTGGGCTTTTGTATCTCTGTTCAGTATTGAGCTTATACTAGCATTTTGTTCTTGACCAGTGAGTATCATTATTTTATTATTTGTTACATAAGTTTTAAGAAAATTTCTGAAATGTTAACACAATAAAAATTCAGTCAGCCTGAATGCTCATCCAAGTAAAGAAACGTTTCTTCCAAAACTGAAAATAATAGCCCTGATTTGTCTAATTTATTTGAGCTAGAACAACTGGTTCTGTGGAGACTGGCTCCATTTTATGTCTCTCAGAAACTGTTGTACAGCCAGCATTAGAAATGTAAAATCAGAATGCTACTTTCATGCTACCACTGACTATCTCAGTGATCCCACAAAGTTGTGGTCATCAATCAGATCCTTATCTGTCTGTAAAAACTTTAATGAGCTGCCTTATGCATTATAAAAGACTCAGAATGCCTGATAAGCTGAATTGTTTAGATGAACACTTTGTTGCTGCTTCCAGACTTTTTGGCTTTGATTCTAGTTCTTAAATGGGATGGTTGATATACTGTAGGTGGGAACAATGCAACTGTTTACGGCCTGTGAGCTTTCATGTCACACCCGGGAGATTGTACACCATTGTCAACTAATGATTAAAAATAATGTGCACTGTCAAATAACGCTGAACTCACATTGATTCTGGGTGATGTCAGTTGTCCATGATTGTTTGATTTTCAGGCATTGCCATATTATGATGCTCCAAGTTGAAGTTATTGAACCTTTCAGAAAAGTTAGTTTCCCAATTGTCATTAAAACTTGGATGCTGACAAAATTACAAATACAAAATTAGTAAAATGCTCTATAACAAAAAAGGAAACTTTGGTTGAAAGCTTGCATTTGAGCTTGTTAATTAATGGCAATTAACCATTCGCATTTCTTTGTTAACCTCCAGTTTTGGCAAATGGCAATTTCAGCAATACAAACTTTTTAAATGTAAAACTGATGACTGTAAGAGAAAAAACAAGGTTTGATTCCTTTGACATAAACAACTTTCAGGCTTAATGCCATGCTGACGTTAAAGTAGGGGGGGAGTTTAGAATTAATCTGAAATACGTTGGGTTGTGTTTATATGCACAATATAAAACTAGGGCAATCTCCTTCAGTTGTACCTTGATGCTGAAGGACCTGCGTATGCTCCTTTTATTCTCCCTGAAGGTGATGGTATGATGCTCCTGATTATCTGCCACGCTGCCTCCTCTTTTCTCTAGGGCCGTCCTCCAGTGTCCATTCTCTGCATCTCTGTGCCCTGATTGCTCCATAGGAGTCACATCTGGCTTCCAGCTTGGACCCCATGTCCTGCAACCACCTAATATGTCCGAATCATGCCTCTCTTCTAGACAGTCATCACTGGTCTTAGAGTGACACAGGATCAAGGATCTGGTCAAATTCAGTGAAAGTCAGTTTCATGGACTATATGACATAAAAAGCAAGACTTTGAAACATTAGAGAAATGCAGCCATGAAAGTGAGTAGATACTGTATATAAAAAATTTAAGCCAAAATAAAAGAGCAGTCAAACTACTGCATTATCCCTGGTCATTAAAAGGCATAACCCAGTCAATATACTGTATAGCATGTTCTAGAATATGAAAGCTTTACACTGGCCTGTAAGTTAAACTACATGCTATTTCTGCTAATAAAAAGGCTTTCTGTACAGCCCTAGCTGTATGCCTCTGAGTGGTGTTGGTACCTGGAGAGCATGGCCAGCTTCTTGGAGCAGTGGTTGTAGCTGCTGGTTCGGTTGTTGTTGCAGTTTTTCCCTTGGTCCCTTTGTCTCCTCTCCATCCTCCTTGCAGCCTCTGTGCTGGCTTTCCTCCTTTGGTTGGAAAATCTCTGAGGCATGGCCAACAGTGTGTGCGTATGTGTGTGTGCTGGGAGCTCAGAAATCAACAGACTCCTCCCAGCCAGCTTGAAGCTTAATGGAGAGGGATGCTCTGGAGAGCAATTAGAAAATTCATTTAGGACAGTCTGACTGCATTTGTGTGTAAGTGCTCTGAGAAACTGCTGAGTGGAGGCTGGTGGAAATAAAAGCATTACTCTTCCCCTGCTGTGAAAAACAATCAAATCAAAGTTTTCCTCAGTTCATATGACTGCTTTTGCAAGAAATAACAAATATTCCACATACACATACACACACAGTGGCACACAGTCTGAAATCACTAAAGTACATTGGACTTGGGCACATAAACAGCAACTGCTGAGCTAGCAGAGGCTCACTTTTAGCTCAATTTGTGTTTTAAGGTACATATAATCTGTGCAATGTGAGATAACAGATAAGGGTGTTAACCATGGTCTACTGGTCCCATTAATGTGCTGGAGTGAATTAAGGTCTGTACTCATAAAAGATTCACACTCAAGAGAGCACTATAGGACAACCCCCAGATGCATTATACATGCTAGTGTAGATGGCCTTCCACATTTGCAGTGAACACTTAGTAAAATGTGCAGATGCTCCTTAACTGGAACCCATAAGGCCTTCAGTCTGACATCATTATCTTGCTGCCTTCCCTCTCAGCCCCCTCACAGTCAGAACCTGAGTGGCTAACAAGGGTCAAGCAGTTCTCCAGGTGCATGATATAGATGCAGTAGACTTACGTGAATGGGATCATTTTACTTGGACTGAATTCTAATTAATACTGGGTGAAACTTTGTAACTGCTGCGGATTTAGTTTTCAGTGATCCTGTATCAGAGGCCTCTAAGGCCTCTAAATAGATGGGTGAACCATCAAAGGCTTTCCATTTCTTCTAGTCATTGTGCTAAGCTAGGCTAGCCACTTACTGTATCTTGCACCCCTCTTTTTGTTCAAGTCCAAAATGTAGCCTTGTAAACTAATTCTGTGTTATGTTGTTGTAGATACCTCAGCTAGTTAAGCTAGTTAGCTAGGTACCTAATCTGTTAAAGTTGCACAATATTTGAGAGACACAGTCAAAAAGGTTGCAAATTCTGTTTTGAAACGTGGCTACAAATGCAACCACTCGCAACTCCTCTTCCCAGTTTTCAGCTATTGTGCAGCTGCCGTGCAGTTCCCGTCAGCCTTCCAGGAGCCCCCCTTCTCCTGTTGCCTGATAAGGCATGTCTAGAGTCTAGAGTCAGACTTAATTTTAAATCAGAAAAGGCTTGATGGCAGAGAGAACATGAGTAAAATATTTCTGGTTTCCTTTTTAAGCGAGGAAACAAGCTAGCATGGGAAAAAAATCATTTAAATTCACAGCTTATCATCATTCTGCCCCACTGCACATGCTTTTATTTTGACATTAGTTCCTGTTACAGTTTCATCTCAGCCACAGACTCTTTGCCCTAATCAATGACAATTGTTTGCACCTGTTTACACCCCTTTATAGGCAGATTCCCCACACCAGGAAGCTGGCAGATTGTCCTAACTCATGTTCAGACTCTCCAGCATTTTTCCTAGCGCCTGTTGTTCCAGCTCTGACCCTGGATTGCCTTGTGACCATCGAGTATTGCCTGACCCCCCGATTCAGTTTGTGTTTTTTGTGCATCGACCCTTGAATTTCCCTTTCTGACCATGTTTCTCGTGGATACCTTGAATGTGTAAGTTTGCTGGCTCTGACCCTGGACTGTATTATTGACCTGAGAGTGTTACTTGTTAAATGGTAAATGGACTGTATTTATATAGCGCATTTTTTTTTCCCACAGTATGTTGTACTGGCCAAAGCTGGTGGCCAACGATGATACACCATTCACCCATTCACACACCGATGACGACAGGCTGCCACACAACAGTGAGAGTCAAGCCACCGGGAGCAATTCGGGGTTCAGTGTCTTGCTCAGGGACACTTAGGTATTTGTGGAGACTGGGAGTTGAACCACCAACTTGCTGGTCAGGAGACGACTGCCCTACCTCGTGAGCCCCCCCCCGCCCCCACACTATTCATACGCTGTCTGTGAGACAGCTACCACAAACAGCTGGAAACTCGACTGGTGACTATGGAAAGTAATAACAAAAGGGTCTGCCCGTGGGAAGAGGGGGAAAAAATCAAAAAGTATGCACATGCACCAACAATGATTATTCAAACAAAATATCTTCAGCTGGCCAAATCATTACTGATCTAGGCATCACAAAGTCATTTCAGAGGATGGCAGAAATTTATTCATCATGCAGAATTCAGTGATCATAGTCAAAGCCAGGAAAAACAGAAATTGTGAAGGTTGGACATCTTTAGCGTGTTCTTCTGCTGAGTACCCAACATACCAATATGCCAACCTGTTTATCCTGCGCTTCGGTCTGGCTTCTGCGCTCCTCCACTGGCAACCTCCACTGCTCTCCATACTGAAGTACTCCTCTGCTCACTCACTCATCCCTCTGCCTGCCTTTGTTCCCAGCTCCACGCTGCCTGCCTGCCTTTGTTCCCAGCATTACACACTGGCCTGCCTGCCTTGTCCTCAGTACGACCCTGTCTACCAGCCTCGTCTCCTGCCTCATGCTGCCTGACCACCTCACCTGCTGTCATGGCCAATGGAGCCAGCCTGTCCAGTTCAGAAGCTGCTCTGCCTCTGTTTCCCTCTCTCCTCCACCTGGTAACCCCTGCCTTGTTTCTTAAATAAACTCCATAGTTTTTAACTCTTGTGTGTCCGCATAGTGGGTTCACCCATACCAGTCCCCTGAACAGCTTCTGCTTCGAGCCTTGTATCAAACTGGTAGTAGGGAGGACAGTATAAAAGTAGGACAGTGAGGGAGGGTAGAAAGGCACTTAGTGTGTTGTGATACATCTTCTGATATGTCATGGTATCATAACAACTAATGTGGCTGAACAGGGATAAGACTGACAGCCATCTTGGTAACTACAAGTAAGCAGGGGGTCTGTTTGGAGTATATTTAAGCATACCAGTGGTTTGTAGTAAACAGGATGGCCTTCACTTGGGCCCATGTAGTGGTGTCTATGAAATCACTGGACATACATTCTAGGATAGTTTGGTTTTCTGTACCATCCTTTAGCTATAGGCCTAAATTGAGGGTCATCCTATGATGCAGCGCTCCTCCCCCTTCAATTTATTTTTATATGCCACCATTACATGTCACTAACTGTGTGTCTCCTCCCTCCCATAGTGTCTCCTCTCTCTCTCTCTCTGTACCTTTCTGCAGGTTGCCCTGGCTCTGGAGCTCTACATTTCTGATGAGCAGTTACCGGCCACATATTGTGATGTCAGCAGTACAGAATGAGTCCAACCACGCATGTATGTTACCCAATTCATTCCTTTTCAGGTTGCTCAGTGGCACATACTATGGGAAAAAACTTCATGCTCCCAGATTCTGGCCATAAAACTTTCTTGGATGTTCCTCTCACCTGTTGAGCCAACTGACTTCCGGGAAATTCTTCCAGTCAGCTACCCGCATACATGAATGAAACCAATAAATATGGTTGCATATTCATATGTGTGTGTGTGTGTGTTGTACATGCCCTCACATAAAATCATGCTTTTTTCTGTAGCAGTAGCGAGGCAGGGACTCCAGCCTAACAGAACCTGATTGAGCGAAAGCAGAGGGTGGGGTAGCTCTGCAGCTGAACAACGTGTGTGTTGTTTGGAATTTTCACTTGGGATTTATTCAGTCTGTAAGACAGAGCAGGGCTTATAAAAGACAGCCAAGAGAGCCACCTGAAAGGAAAACCTTTCAGTCACACCATAAATGAATAATCCACAACTTGTACAATGTGTACAGTGTGTACAGAGGTTATTTAGTAGCTTGGCCCTGAAGTGTATATGGCTGTTGAATTCTTGATATGCAAATGATCTCACACTCTCGAGGGAGGTTCAGCTGGTCTAGCCTCTGTTGTATCAGTGCAGAATGTTAACTGAATGCTGTGTATGTCCATGTGGGTGTAGGTCTGGCTGTGTGGGTTTTTGCTTGGCTGTGTGGAGAGAAGAGAGGAAGCTGTGCCGATCCACTGCTGGCCTCACTGGGCTATTTTTGCTCTAAAAGTTGGCTTGGACTGGATATACACACATACACAACATTATGTAATTTGTCTTTTCATAAAGGAACTCTGTGTGCAAGTGGATCCATGAATATACACACACACACTTAGATTATTGCACATATCCAGCCCCAAGGCCAGCAAGTGCATCATTTAACTTACCAGCTCTGCAACTAATTTTGATAGTTACACAATACTTAGAACACAGAAACAGCTTTTCCCCCTTCTTACTTCCTGTCCAGAACCTTTATAGTCATAGATGTCAATTTGGTTTTCAGTCTGAGACATACTGTATGGTCCAGATAATTATGGACTTGCACAAATAAACATTGTTTTTAAAAACCCTTCAACACTGGTAGTGAAGTTCCTACTCACCATAGTCAATCATGATGTCTTTCAGCCAGTATCCACAGCTTCTACTGAAAGTGAAAACAGGGGATACAAAGAATGGGTTTATTCCAGACAGACAAGTAAAAGTGAAGGAAGCTGAAAAGGTTCAAAACTGATGTATCACTCAGAGCATGGATTCCTCACTGTGATTGCTCTGGGGTGATGTGGCTGTACCTCTTGTCCTCCTCGGTACCTCTTCCTCTCTACTTTTCCTCCCCCTCAGTCTGCAGAACACAACAGTGTCTCAGAAAGGCACAGCTCCCCCAAATCACTGCCCCTTTCCTGTGAGCCAGCTCCACAGAAGAAAACACTGCATGTAGCTAGGCCTGACCTCACACCTACTTTCCATCACATACTGGTTGTAGTCTTACAAGGCTCTGGTGTGTGTGTGTGTGCCTGCAGTGTGTGTGTGTGCTTACTGTATGCTGCATGAATAGACTCTTTGAAGCCACTCCAGTTTACACATAAATACACACTTCAAATTTGAAGTGTAAACTTTTTTTTTACTTTTTCCACCACCACTTTCTGTATTTAATAGGTGTGTTCAATAAAGAAATGAAAGTTCATGACTGTTTGTGTTATATCAGCTTAGAAATATTGTGTTTGTTGATATTTGTGACAATTTAGATACTTGAAAATTAGGGAGTTTGTCATTATGGTTCCATATTATTATGGCCTTAGGCTGAGAGCCCTGAGAGGACTGAGTAGCACCTGTGCACCCTCAGTGGGTCCCAGGTCTTCACAGGCTATACAAGACTTTCACCGCCACAAATGCATATGTAACAGAAGTCTTCATACATACTTTATGGCTGTGCATCCTTCTGTCAAATAAGTCAAATATCCCTGTGTGAAGAATTTGCTTTGCATTTTGTTGTGTCTCCCTCTAGTGGCTCAACTGTGTCACTGTGGTTGGGGATTGGACAACAACATTGAATTCCTATAGAGAGCTGCTTCAGTTAGGTATTGACCAACATTGAGGAGTTGGAATTTCTAAGGATGGAATACTTACAGATGTTCATGTACAGAATGCTGATATTTTTGCGAACTATATGAGATATTAGCAACACTGGCTAAATACTGCAGGAGGATTTGTCAAACAGTATAAAAACTAAGTACAGCATCAGTATACAATAAGAGGTCCAGATGGTATCAGCTCCAGACTCCTCAGGGCCTGTGCAGGCCAGCTGTGCTCTACCACATCTTCAGCCTGAGCCTGAAGCTGGAGACAATACTGGGTCTGTGGAAGACACCCTGCTTTGTTCCAGTTCCCAAGACTGGTGGATTTAGCATCCTGCCTGATAAAGACTTTGGAAGTTAACATGTACTGTAACTTAAACCACTATAAGGCTTGTCTTTCACCATTTATGTTCTCTGGTGAACTTCAGGATAGATCTACTACAGCTTCCTTACCAGCCTCGAATCAGGGTGGATGATGCTGTCATGTACTGTACCTCCTTCACAGATCCCTCTCACAGCTTGAGAAAGCAGGAGTCAGTGTGAGGTTCATGGTTTTTGACTTCTCCAGTGCTTTCAGTGTTTACAACCATCGCTGCTGAGAGAGAAAATGGAATGAGCAGAGATGGACCACAGTTTGGTCTTCTGAACTATGGACTACCTCACCAACAGACTACTGAACCATTTCTCAGGCACGGTTCAGTGTCACTGGGACTCCACAGGTGACTGTTCTTACTCCATTCTTGTTCACCTTATATATTTAGTTCACTTGGACTACAACTCTGCACACTGTCACCTGCACAAATTTTCTAATGACTCAGCTGATGTCAGGAGCATCACTGACAATATGGAGGATGACTACATGACTGCAATCCAGGCCTTTGTTTAATGGTGTAGGCAGAATGGCCTGCAGCTTGATACGAGTAAGGCAAAGGAGCTGATGGTGGACTTTCACAGAAATAACATGCCCCAGCCAGACCAGTGAATGTCCAGAATATGGTGTTTATGTCAACACCAAGTTGGAGTGGACAGACAACACCACTGCCCTTTATGAAAAAAGACAAAATCAACTCAACCTGCTGAAGAGACTCAGCAGGACACTCCTCAGACTGGACAAACCAATAAAGAAGGCCAGCTCTATCCTGGTGCTCTCTGGATTCACTAGAGGAGTTGGGAGAGAGAAAGATGACTGCCTAACTGTGGGCCATTATGGGCAAGACCTCGCACCCCCTACAGGACTCCCTGAGAACCTCCTTCAGTGACAGGCTGCTCCACCCACAGTGTGTGAAGTAACACTACTACTACCACTACTACTGCGGGTCAGATTACATGAACTTCATCATTGCACCCAGCAAACTCTAATGACTCAGTAACTATATACTGATGTGGACTAACTGCACAGCTTAAAGGCAGTGGTCATTTTAATGTCATTGTCACCTTGTTTTCACCATAGTCTGCATTTTACTTTGCAGTGATGATGATAGGAACTTTTATGTGAGCTGAGTAGAAAACTGGCAGTCATTGTTCCTCAGAAGGCCTTTTAGATCTTTATGTGATAATGATTTGGCTACTGGTCCTAAATATCTTTAAGTTAATTTAAGTTTATGTCTGAGAACTCCAGCTTCTTCTATCAGATGGTGAAGGGCTTCAAACACTACAGTACCCATGAGCCTCATGGCTTTTTTCCCAAGCAGTTGTTTTTTCCTTGTCATAGTATAAAAGCACAGGCATTACTAATAGTATTAATAATGGCTCTTCTATTGATATGTCCAGCCACAAGTATAATATTGTGCACAACAGCAGGACTCTGAAACTGAAACATCTAAATGGAATTCATCCATCATTTATTTCATTTATTACCTTTATTTCACAGGAAGTTTTGGTGTTGTCTTTGACTCAGAACTAAATCTTGTCACCAAATCTGCTTTTTGTAAGCTCTGAAATAAAAAGGGCAATTTTTCTCTGTGAGCAACACATACTAACACATGCTTTTATACGATGCCATTCATCTGCTACATTTAATTCAGGATTCTACTGCCCAGTGTTGACCAGGCCCAGATGGAGAGAACACGCTGTGCTTATTTAAAATTATTTAAATTTTAAAAAAATCTGTCACCAAACCATGTGACTTTTACTCTTACATCAACATTTACAGTACATGCCTCTTGTTTCCATATACAGTATACTGTTATATTCTTATATATATTTTTCTATTATATTGCTGCATCTGTTGCTGCTTAAAGTGCCTTAGATTTTGTGTTACTTATTTATCTACTTTATATTTCATTTGTGTTTTGTGGCATTTATGTGGACAGCAAAGTAAGAATTTCATTGTACAGGGAAACACGTTTCCTAACTGTGCATATGACAAAATTAACACTTTGAACTTTGAACTTGAACTACTGGATGCGTCAGTGGAGAAATGGATCCAGCTGCAGTGGTCTACAGTAGACAGGCTGTGCTTCTGCACCACACTGTGTGAAGGAAATGGACCACACCTCAGAGGGAAAGCAGGGTAAAAAAAACATTCTCAGTAAACAGCCAGAGAGCAGGAAGCCCTCTTTGTGCTCACTCCAGCCCAGAGTGCTACACTTCCATCTCTGGGCTGAGGCAGCAGACACTGAAGGGCTGGGCCTACTGTATGTTTAACCAATAATAGACTCCCTTCCCTCTTTCAGATCTTAGATAGAACACAGTAGGTCTACTGTGTTCATATGCGCAAGGCTCATGGAGGAATTTCTTCTTTTCTTTTCTTTTCACTCTTTGATAAAGGGTTTTCTCTTTCAAATGAATAACAAATGACAAGCTTTTGTTGATTTTTTCATTCAGTCTTTAATAGATAATGCCTTTGTACTGCTGTCTTTGCTAACCCCACTGTTTGTCTGGGATCATGCAGACCATGGTCCTGCTCTGATACATTAAAATCTTAATGCTTAAACAATTCAGTGTACGAAGCAGTGTCACTTACTTTGTTTTTGCTGACCTGCCAGCAGTTTCCCATGTTGTCAGTAAGCACTATTAGTCACAAATATAATCAGTACAGAAATGTTTAAATGTACAAAGGATGATTTTGATTATTATAAATTATGACGTCATTATTGTGACAATGATTATGAACATGATTATAACTATATAGGGCAGCACAGCAACGTGGTGGTTAGCACTGTCACCTCACAGCAAGAAGGTTCCGGGTTCGAGCCTGGGCTGACCAAGGGCCTGCCTGTTCTCCCTGTGCCTGTGTGGGTTCTCTCCAGGTGCTCTGGCTTCCTCCCACAGTCCAAAGACATGCGGCTTAGGTTGACTGTAAATTGTTCATTGGAGTGTAGTTGTTTGTAAATGGGCTGTATTTTATATAGCGCTTTCTCACAGTGTGTTGCACTGGCCAAAGCGCTTTACAGAAGATCATACACCATTCACCCATCGATGACGACAGGCTGCCATGCACCGGCGCTAGTGAAGCCACCAGGAGCAATTCAGGGTTCAGTGTCTTGCTCAGGGACACTTAGGCATGCAGGGAGCCCGGGAGTCGAACCACCAACTTGCTGGTCAGGAGACGACTGCCATACCTCATGAGCCACAGCCACCCCGTCTTCATGTCAGCCCTGTGACAGACTGGTGACCTGTCCAGGGTGGACCCCACCTCTCACCCAGTGTCAGCTGAGATTGGCTCCAGCCCCCCACAACCCTGTTCAGGAATAAGCAGTATAGATAATGGTTGGATGGATTATAACTACATACAGTATGTGCTATAACAGTTTTGCTGTCACAAAACCTAAATTATGGGTACAACCCTAGGCTTCACATATTTTTACTTCTGGTATACTATATAAACACTGTTGAAGCAGATAAAACACTTATTAGTGATTTTGTTGAAATCTCTTGTTGACTATTATTTAAGAAGAATGAACACCCCAAAGACCAAACCAGGGGGAGGAGAAGACCAGAGGCAGATGGGACAGAACCACGACAAGACCCCCTCTCCTACATGGATGAGCCGCGACCACCCCCAGACTGGTCCGGATGGGCCTGATGGAAGTCTTGGATGAGGGCAGGGTCCACAATATGGCGGGAAGGAACCCAGGACTGCTCCTCCGGCCAGTAACCCTCACCGGGTACTGGATACCCTGGCCATGTCTCCGGGACCTCAGGAGACGATGAACGGTGTAGACAGGACCCCCATTGATGATGCAAGGAGGAGGAGGAGGAGCCACACATGAAAGGTGGGGTGAACCCAAAGAGAGCGGGG